TGTCAGTAAATACAAGTGTGCTTTGTTATTTATTGTTGCATAGTATTCCATTACATGGGTATTTCATAATTTAAATTGTTGGGCATTTGATTTGCTCTCTTTTTATCAGAAATAACATCATGAAATATTAAATGAATTTCTAAGCTTATGTGATGATTTATAGCAATTAAAGCTAATATTGAGTGCTAGCTAACCAGATTTGTTATGTCCATTTATGTGCTTTTTTCCCTAAGTGAAAAGTCCTCAAGTACAGTGACCTTTTAGAGAAATATTTGCTTAATATTTTTCCTGTGCATTAAGAAGTCTCATAGAAATTTATTTTTATATTTGCTTTTAGTCTATAGGTTATTAATAGTGCAAATAATGGGTGTTTTTGCCAGGTACTAGGCTAAGTAATTGAAAATATTTCATTTAATCATCACAGCAACCTTGTGATTTAGGCTTGTCTTTGGTAGATGAGGAAATGGAGGGAACAGTTAAATAATTTAAATGAGGGTGGAGCCATGATGTGACCTTGGACCTACTCTCCTTACCTGTGAATGCCTTTGGGGGTAATATTGAATCTCAGCATTGCATTACAAGTCAACTAAGGGAGATGGTTGTAGATTTTTATCTTTTCCTATAAGTAATATTGTTTTGGTGTAGAAAGATAAAGATTTAGGATTTAGAAATGGAATTCCTTCTGAAGAGGTTGCTTTTCCCTCTCCCTACTTACTTAGATGATTGTTTTAGTAACTACTCTTTGCAGTGCGTCGTATGGGGATATAGAGACCAAGGAGAGTGTGTAAACAAAATAAACTCTTGCCTTTGAGCTGAGATATGCGTCATTAATGTTAAATTCACAGATGTACTTTCACAGGGTCAGAGAAATCTTGAAAGATATGGGATTTGAGCCAGCAGATTTTTCTTAAGTTGTGAACTTTAAATAATTAAATAATTCTAAAATCATGATGGAATATTTACTGCTTAAGTACTTCTGTAGTATGATGTTAATTATGACCCTCTTTTTTAAAAAAATATATTTTTATTGATCTCAGAGAGGAAGGAAGAGGGAGAGAGACAGAAACATCAATGATGAGAGAGAATCATTGATTGGCTGCCTCCTGCACGAGCCCACAACCTGGTCATATGCCCTTGACTGGAATCGAACCTGGGACCCTTCAGTCCGCAGGCCGACGCTCTATCCATTGAGCCAAACCAGCTAGGGCTATGACCCTCTTTTACGTGTGCTGTGCGAGCCTTGGTTTTCCAGAGTAAGTTTTGTGTAAGCTGTGTAACATCTGTGCTCTTGCTTGGGTCCCCAGAGGAAGGCTGTTTCCTGCCATTGCTGAGACTTACATATGGTGCTCTCGGGGTAGTAGGTTACAACTACTCTTCTCACCTGTTATATTATTCATCTGGCACTGATAATGTTCCTCCTTGCATTGCAAGTATCAACAATGTATTGCTATCAATTTAAAAGAGGAGAATATTGGATTGATGGGAAAGATCTGATAGTGATTTTTGTTTATTGCAGAAAATGCTTTGTGTACTATAAAACTAACTCAACATATTTTGCATTGGTTCATCTATCTATTGGTCATTTATACTATATTAGGAAGTAACATTAATGTTAAGATCAGAAATAGAAAAAGACATAAAACAGTTTGTGTTACATAGAAAGCCATATACCAGAAGGTCTACTTATTTCATAGAAAATTCATTAAAGTACAATATTAGAATGAGAAACTTTTGGCAGCTATGTAGAGCAATAGATAAATTTGAACTGTGAGTGTATTGGTATTTGTATGGATGCTATCTTGGTCATTTACTTAAATATTTATTTAATGATTTGAATGGTCATAGTGTGAAAAAAAACCTTGGTGTAGTCCTTATAGGGTCTATCATCCTGTGTTGTCATTAATCTAGGGCTAAAAAAGTTTGACCAAATTGGAAGTTGTCCTCTTGTTTTTTTGTTTGTTTGTTTCTTAAGTAGGGAAAAGGTTGCTTTAGTTCAGTGGTTCCCTAGTTTTTTGCTCTCAAGACCCCTTTTCACTCTTAAAACATGTTGAGACAACCACAAAGAACTTTTAAGTGAATGGCATTGTTTTACATTTTTGCAAATCTTACTAATGTCTGGCTTAATAGAAAACACCTGGATTCTCATATCTGTTTTTGCATTCATTCTATTGTATGTTTTGGTTGTAGAATATAAAGAAAATCTGGCTTCACACAGCTAGGTAGGTGGAAAAAGAGGAGTACTTAATAGTCTTTTTAGATAAGTGTGGATCTTCTTTGACATTGTACCCAAACTTGACAAGTCATAGTTTCATCGAGTTTAGTTGCAATATGGAATCTAAAACCATATCAATGAACCTTTTGTACTCTGTTAGGTCAGTAATTTTCAATCACTAGTGTGCCACAAGCAATTTTGAAACATGCAATACCTGACTATTTAGTCAGGGGTACTGACCTCTTTTCCCTTAGATACTCAAAAAAATAACAGCCAACGACAATAGCCGTCCAGTGTAAATGAATCAAAATTACACCTATTTTTTTTGTCAGATCAGCAAAAAAAAAATTTTTTTTTTTGGTCGCTGCAGGATTTTAGTACTAATTAGTGTGCCATGAGATGAAGAGGGTTGAAAATCACTATTAGGTTAAAATCTATTGGTCTGTCTTGAGCTTACTTTTACCTGTGCATGAGTTTCTCACATGCATTGGTCATTTGGTTATTTACTGAGTTTCCCAGATCTTCCAAATGTTTACACATTTTGTTGTATGGTATCAAAAATTTACATTTATTAATATCAGCAGTAGTATATTTAATTAGAAATGACTTTTTAAAGTAATGGGAATATGTTCATGTTCATGATGGTGGGTACAAGTTTTCAAAATACTTATTTTTTGCTTGAAAACCCAGATTTTATAATTGGCAATAAACATTGTCAGTGGTTTTTCTTGAAGTGACAGGTTCACTTTGTTCATTTTTGAGAAAATGTCTGCTAACTACATAAGTAGTTCTGCCAACTAAAAATAGTGTTAGATGAGAAAAGCTTCTAGTTCACCTTGCAATCAGTTGTACAGGTGCTTTTTCTCAGACTACTACTTTTTGTTGTTAATTTTTATCCGAGGATATTTTTTCCATTGATTTTTTTTTTTTTTTAAGAGGGAGAGGGAAAGAAACATTGATGTGAGAGAGACACATCGATTGGTTGCCTACTGCACGTGCCCCGACGGGCTGGGGGTCGAACCTGCAACCCAGGTATATGCTCTTATTGGGAATCCAACCTGAGACCCTTCAGTGGGTGTGCCAATGCTCTAACCACTGAGCACACAGACCAGGCTCTCAGACTTATTAAAGCTTCAGAAGTAATTTATGTGTACTTTACCTTTCATCACGAAGAATATTTAAAAAAGTAGAGTAGAGATTTTATAATTTTCATAATTTTATCAAGGACATTGATAAATGGAACTAGCTTTTTTAAAAAAATCCTAACCCGAGGACATGTTTATTGATTTTCAGAGAGAGAGATAAAGAGGGAGGGGGGGCAGAGAGAGAGAGAGAGAGAGAGAGAGGGAGACAGACAGAAGGACATGGATAGATAGACATTTGATGTGAGAGACATGAATCGGTTGCCTCCTGTATGTGCCCTGACCGGGAATTGAACCTGCGACCTTTCTGGTACACAGGTGCTCAGCCTTGTTTTTGTACCCTCATTGCAAATATCAACAGAAAAAAAATTTAAAAAGGCAAATAATTTTTAGGATTACTATGAAAATAGCTCTCGTGGACCCCTAAAATGGTCTTTGAGCTCCCAAGAAGTCTGTAGACTACACTTTTAAGAACAGTTGGCTTAGTTCTTTACATAGATTTTCTTTTGCTCTTAAACCAAATAGAGGCAAATGACTGAGGCTTTTAGCTTAGATTGCTAAATGAAAGCAATACCATTACCAGAGATAATAAATCTGGTTGAGGAGTAAGTATTGAAAGAAGAAAGTGAATTTTGAGTTCCAGGGAGCTTGAGGAACATAGAAGTGGGAATGTTGACTAGTGCAACTCAGCAAGTTTTTCTGAGTATTAGGAGGCCTCACTATATATACTAGAGGTCTCACTGTACTAGTACATACTAGTGGTTGTTGAGAAGGAAGTGGCTTCAGAGAGAAGAGGACAGAAGAAGGAACCTTGGTATCAAGGACATTAGGAAAGGAGAATTTCAAGAATGATTGGTCAGCACTACCTAATGCTTTAGAGAAGTCAAATAGATTGGGGATTGAGACTTGACCATTGAGATTTGATAATGAGATTACTGGTAACTTCTGCCAGAGCAGTAGGAGCCAGATTAGAGTGCAGAGGCAGCTATTTATATTATTCTTTTAGGAAGTTTTGGAGTGAAGGGAAGAGACAACTTGGGCAATTAATTTGAGAGGTAGGTTGTACTGAGGACAATGAAAGAAAGCTGACAAGTGTGATACAGTTAAGCTTGTAGTTTGAGCTGTCTTGCCGAGAAGTGAGAAGCTGCTGAACACTGGATTGTTTGGCCAGAAAAATACACAGCTCTATGACATTTGGCATATGAACTTTTTGGTAGAGATGGGGAGTTCTTACTAATTCTTTCCTGTTTAATTGCTAGGTGTTTAGTTTGCTTCATTTGCTTTAAATGTACTCATTTTAAGAAGTTTAAAGAGATTTTTCTCTTAAATGCAGGTGATTGACTTGAATAATCTGTGATTTTCTCAGTGTGGAACTTCTGTTTTAGCTACGTTGAATCCGTGGTAACAAGTGACAAAAAAAAGTGGAATTCTTTCTCTTGTACAGAAGAGTGTATGTGCTCTCTCGCCCTCCCTCCTTCCTTCCTTCCCTCCCCCTCCTTCCCCTGATGAAGAATATTCAGGTCTCCAGAGTGAATGTGACTGGAGGCAGAGTTTGGATTATAGCCTCAAGTAGTATTTGTATGAAAAATGTTGTTGTTGTCTATTATGCTTGTATTTCTAACTTCCTTTTGTTCTTTTCTTTCTAGTCTGTTCTCTGGGGAGGCAGAAAGGGGCCGTGGAGCTGGCCTCGGCACCGGGAGAGGCTGGACTTCCTGTCTCTCTGTGCTGAATGGCTGCGATGGCGCCCGCTCTCACTGACGCAGCAGCTGAAGCACACCATATCCGGTTCAAACTGGCTCCCCCATCCTCCACTTTGTCCCCTGGCAGTGCCGAAAACAACGGCAACGCCAACATCCTTATTGCTGCCAACGGAACCAAAAGAAAAGCCATTGCTGCAGAGGATCCCAGTCTAGACTTCCGAAATAATCCTAAGGAAGATTTGGGAAAGCTGCAACCATTGGTGGCGTCTTATCTCTGCTCCGATGTAACACCTGTTTCCTCGAAGGAATCATTGAAATTGCAAGGTGTCTTCAGCAAGCAGACAGTCCTTAAATCTCACCCTTTCTTATCTCAGTCCTATGAACTCCGAGCTGAGCTGTTGGGGAGACAGCCAGTTTTGGAGTTTTCTTTAGAAAATCTTAGAAGCATGAATACGAGTGGTCAAACAGCTCTGCCACAAGCACCTGTAAATGGGTTGGCTAAGAAATTGACTAAAAGTTCAACACATTCTGATCATGACAATTCCAGTTCCCTCAATGGGGGAAAACGAACTCTTACTTCATCTTCTCAGGGGGGTGAAATGGTGGCATCTGAATCAGGGGACTTGAAGGGGGGTATGACCAATTGCACTCTTCCACATAGAAGCCTTGATGTAGAACACACAACTATATTTAGCAATAATAGCACTGCAAACAAATCTTCTGTAAATTCCATGGAACAGCCAGCACTTCAAGGAAGCAGTAGGTTATCACCTGGCACAGACTCCAGTTCTAACTTGGGGGGCGTCAAGTTAGAGGGTAAAAAGTCTCCCCTGTCTTCCATTCTTTTTAGTGCTTTAGATTCTGACACAAGGATAACAGCTTTACTACGACGGCAGGCTGATATTGAAAACCGTGCCCGCAGATTACAGAAGCGCTTACAGGTTGTGCAAGCCAAGCAGGTGGAGAGGCACATTCAGCATCAGCTGGGTGGATTTTTAGAGAAAACTTTGAGTAAACTGCCAAACTTGGAATCCCTGAGGCCCCGAAGCCAGTTGATGCTGACTCGAAAGGCTGAAGCTGCATTGAGAAAAGCTGCCAGTGAGACCACCACTTCAGAAGGACTTAGTAACTTCCTGAAAAGTGATTCCATTTCAGAAGAATTGGAGAGATTTACAGCTAGTGGTATAGCCAGCTTGAGGTGCAGTGAACAAGCATTTGACTCAGATGTCACTGACAGTAGTTCAGGAGGAGAGTCTGATATTGAAGAGGAAGAACTGACCAGAGCTGATCCTGGGCAGCGTCACATACCTCTGTGAGTAGAACCCATGCATAATGACATTTTTGAGAGAGGGAACACAGGAGAAAGACTTGGTGAATTCCCATCATGGGGAGAATGGGATTCTTTGTTTATAAGTACCTAGATTCCATTTGTCTTTTTTCTAATTTTAAGTAGGTGAGTGCATATACTTGTTAGTGATGAAATGGAAGATATTTCTGGTATAGTTGCTGTAGGCTAAAAGCTGCTAATTTATTTTTAAAATCTAATTTATTAAAAATAGACATCTATTTGTAAAACTGTACCCATTCTGTGAGTGAATAGATTTTTTTTTGAAACTGGACATAAGTTATTTTTATAAGTTTCTATGACTTGATTTCAGAATTTGTTGCTTCTAGTAGATGGGGACAGAAATTTAGTTGACCTAGTTCACTTTGCTGGAGTTTATAGTTGGTTTAATTGAGCTTTCAGCCAAGAATGTACCCCGTCTTCACTTTTAACACTTGAGGTTTCCTCTCCTTTTTAAGGACTAATAATCAGAAAATGCTCTGAGTATTTTATAGGTTACATCTAAGCACAATTCACTTTTTCACAACTTGTCTCTACCTAAAATAGCCCATCTTTGTCAGATTTGGATTTTATTTTCTCTCAGCTAAGTTAAATGTATTAGCTTATTTGGGATAAATTCTTATTGGTGTTTCCAAATCTGTTTGTTTGAAGAAAATTCTGCTTAAGCTTTGAGTGGCACTCGGTGTGGTGGAGCTCATATATTTCCCTCCTAATTCTGCATTTGGCTCCTTATGGATTAACAAGGAAGTACAGTATATAAATATATCTCCTTAAAGATAAATCAGTCTATGCCCTAACCAGTTTGGCTCAGTGGATAGAGCGTCGGCTTGCGGACTGAAGGGTCCCAGGTTCGATTCCGGTCAAGGGCATGTACCTTGGTTGCGGGCACATCCCCAGAGGTGGGTGTGCAGGAGGCAGCTGATGGATGTCTCTCTCTCATCGATGTTTCTAACTCTCTATCCCTCTCTCTTCCTCTCTGTAAAAAATCAATAAAATATATTTTTAAAAAAAGATAAATCAGTCTACTTTTTTTAAAAAAAATTCTCAATCAAGGATATGTTTTTATTGATGAGAAAGAGAAACAAACATTCATGTGAGAGAGAAACATCGGTCGGTTGCTTCCCATATGCACCCCAACCAGGGATTGAGCCTATAACCTTGGTATGTGTCCTGACCAGGAATCGCACCTGCAGCCTTTTGGTGTACAGGACAACACTCCAACCAACTGAGCCACCTGGCCAGGGCAGTCAGTCTATATTTTATCTACTTAAAAGTGCTAAACTTGTGAAAAAGGGAAACATGATAATTTGGAAAAGATGGGCAGGATTGTTGACTAGCAAATCCTCTCTCATTTCTACTTTGGGTAGGGATTTTATAAAGGTTGGATTACTAGAGAAGGCTCAAATAGGTGGCTATGTTGGAATAATTGTTTTTTCCTTGCCTGTAGTAAAAAGGTAACTAAGATTTTCACTGGAGACTTAATTGAGACAGCTGTACTTTTAAGTTTAAGTAAATTTCCTTTTTTCTTAAATGGTTTACTAGTTTACATCACCTTGTGAATATTTGTGGCATTATCCCTACTGACTTTGCTGCATGAACCATTGCTTCAAAAAAACCTTAGTTAATGTTAGCCTATCCAGTTTGGCTCATTGGATAGCGTGTCAATCTGCGGACTGAAGGGTCCCAGGTTTGATTCAGGTCAAGGGCACATGCCTGGGTTGCAGGCTTGATCCCCAGTAAGGGGGCGTGCAGGAGGCAGCCAATCAATGATTCTCTCATCATTGATGTTTTAGTCTCTCCTCTCTTCCTCTCTCTGAAATCAATAAAAATATGTTAAAAAAAATCTTAGTTAATGTTGAATTTTTTTGTGTTTTAGAGTAATTTCATATAACAAATACTGTAGTTGAAGCATGTTAAGTTTCATGTGCTTGTTTTGTGTATTTGAGAAAATAATCTAGAAGCTTACTGTTTTCAGTATACCTTGTATTGAAAAAGTTTTTAAGTTTTGGTAATGTGGGTAACTTCTAATCCAGTGAAATAAAAATAACTAAGAGAGAACTTTTTTTATTCCATGGGATAATCTAGTGATTTGAAAAGACCTTAGTCTATTCACTCACTACTTAGTTCTGGGCCTTCTCATATAATGAATGGTTTGTTGATTTGGAAGAGTGTGAAGTACAAGGACAGTTCACATATTTTAGGGATCAGTTGAACCCACTTACAATTTAAGTAAGAAAAATATGGAGAACTAAAGATACTGTGAAGTAAATATACTTTTGTACATTTTTATGTAATTGAATCAAAATTAAAAGCACCAATACACCACTACTTCAAAGATCTTGTTGAGCAAGGCCAACAGATTGACTCCTAATGCAAGTATCTAGCCAGGTGTTTTATTTATCTTTTAATTATATATATATATATATATATAGAGAGAGAGAGAGAGAGAGAGAGAGAGAGGAGATTGATTTGTTGTTCCACTTAATTATGCATTCATTGGTTGATTCTTGTATGTGCCCTGACCAGGAATTGAACCTGCAACCAACCTTGTTGTATTGGGAGGCCGCTCTAACCAACTGAGCTACCCAGTCAAGGTGGTAGGCAGGTGTTTGTTGACCATCTGAGTGTTTTAAAGATTTTTCAGTAATTGGCCAGACAATGAGAATGGAGGTATTGCTTTGATTAAAAAAGAAAAAAAGGGAAAGTCTTTGGATGCTGAGAAGCCTTTTCTTAGTGATTTAGTAGTCCCTTCCAAACCCCATAACCACATTTAGAATTCTTGAGTCCTAGAATAAATAAAATTGGTGAGTTTAAACTTGTTTTCCCTTTCTGATAGTCTGTCTAATATTTCACTCCTTTACTGAAGTACTTCTGCCAGAGATAAAGTTGCTCCTGTACTAAATATTTTCAGCCATGATGAAAATATTTAGTACAGGAGACTGTTGAAATGAAATGTTTTGAAATAATGCTGCTTATAAATTATAAGTGGATGGTTCTGTGAAAATTGCAAGCCTTCACTAAGAATTCATTTGTTTTTTCTTTTCTAACTCTTAAGAGGAAAAACTAAGTCCTAGACCAGTGATGGCGAACCTATGACACACGTGTCAGGTGACACGCGAACTCATTTTTTTGGGGTTGATTTTTCTGTTAAATGGCATTTAAATATATAAAATAAATATGAAAAATATAAGTCTTTGTTTTATTATGGTTGCAAATATCAAAAAATTTCTATATGTGACACAGCACCAGAGTTAAGTTAGGGTTTTTCAAAATGCTGACACGCTGAGCTCAAAAGGTTCGCCATCACTGTCCTAGACACATGCTAGCAGTAGCAGAATGATTGATTTTTATATGTTGAGTTTTTGGCAAATTGTTTATCATTGTATTAGGGGCCCAGTGCAGGAATTCGTGCACCTTGAAAGGAACTCTGGGCCACGAGGCTGCAGTGGGCACAGGGGCGGGTCTTGGCCCATCCTCCGCACCCCCTCCCAGCCCCTCCCACCACGGCCCCTGTTCCCCTGTCTGCCGGCAGCCCCGCTCCCCGCCACTGCCACTCCCACATGCTGATGGTGCTGGCCCTGCTTGCACCCACTGACTGACGGTGCGGTGCGATTGGGGCTGGTGCTGGCAGTGGGTGCAAACGGGGCCATCGCCGGCAGCAGGTGCGAGAGGTGACTGTCAGCTCTGATTGCCCCTCAGGAGCAAGGGGAGGTGAAGAAGCCCTGAGGGGCGATAGGGACCGGCAACCACTGCTCGCACCTGCTCGAACCTGCTGACAGCACCGAGGATCAGAGCCAGCGCCGGGCACCAATAGCGGGTGTGAGCAGTGGCTCTGGCGCTGGCAGCAGGTGCAAGCGCCAGGCGGGACCACGGTGCATGGGAGCAAAGAATTTTCAGTAACCAGCAGAGGCTTGCCCCAATGACAGCGATCGGCACCTGCCTTGGTCTGGCGCCCCCACTTACCTGCTCCACCATCCCATTGCAGCTGATGCCTGCCATGTTCTGCACTCTGCCTCATTCTCGCCATGTTCCAGCGCGCACCCCCTGGTGATCAGTGCACATCATAGCAATCGGTTGTTCTGCCGTTCGGTCTGTTTGCATATTAGCCTTTTATTATATAGTATTATACTTTACAAATAGTAAATTCTGTATTACTAGACAAGGTGTTTTAGAAAAATTCTTTCCTTTTTCTTAATATATATATATATATATATATATATATATATATATATATTTTAAAATTCTCACCTGAGGATAGTTTTTCCATTGAATTTTTTTGAAAGAATGTAAGGTAGGGAGGAGGGGGAGAGAGAAACATTGATGAGAGACACTTTGATTGGTTGCCTACCGCACTGGGGCTGGGAATTGAACCTGCAACCTAGGTGCATGCCCTTGACCAGGAATTGAACCCGAGACCCTTCGGTCTATGAGCCAAACTTATCAGACTGGCCGGGGCTGATTAATATTTTTGGTTAACTGATTTTATGTTTAGTTTAAACCTGTCATGCCTTTTTATTTTAAGCTCTTTTGGGAAAAATCTTTCTAAAATGTGTTATGTAATTGTCTTGGTACATACATGTCACTACTAGTGTGAAAATCAAGGAACTAACAAGAAAGCTGTGTTTTAATAAATACCTTAATGTTTAAAAAAAATTTTTAAAGCCTCACCTGAGGATATGTTTATTGATTTTGAAGGGAGAGACAGAGGCAGAGATAGATATACACTGAGTGGCCAGATTATTATGACCACCTGACGTATAATTTCCCGCTGAAGTTGCTAGAGGGCCAGATCATTATAAACGTCTGAATAGCACAACATACCTAAGTATCGTTGCTGATCAAGTTCATCCTATCATGTTGATGGCATGTCCCAATAGAGATGGCTTCTTCCAACAAGACAATGCGTCATGCCATGGTGCTCGTATTGTGCAGGAGTGGTTTCAAGAACATGAGGGAGACTTTACCTT